CTCATTAATGTGTAAAATTACTCCTTGACAATTTTTTGCTGATTCTCATTATTTTCTGGGTCACTTATTCTGCACAATTTCAACAATGTATTGATAAAGATTTTCGCAGAAAGTATTAGATTTCTTTTACTCATAGTTCCCACACTCAATAAGAACGAATTTATATCAGAGTACCCTTTATTTCGTTTGAAGAGGCTGGTGGGCGGTATTCGTAAGTTGGTCTCGTCGGAAGTCGAAAAGAGATTGCTTTGGAGCGATGATTGCAGATTGGGTGCACTACTAAATGACCCAGATTAATCTTTGCTAAACTTACGTGCGTCGTGTGACGGACATCTTTAGAGCGGGATAGCATGCTTTGCGACAATTAACGAGAATACGAAGACAAGATAGGTGGTCGGCAGTAAGCCTACTTACTTCTTGTAGCCTGACTTTGTCCACTTGATGAGACATCTCATGATTTGGCGGATTATCCTATGATCTCCCCAACTTTTTGCTGAAAAGTTTGGCGGATGCGGAGGCAGCGTGTAACGGATACACTTGTGACCGAACAACTGCATCCTCTCTTAAATAACTTATATTTCTGATTCTACATTGTTTCCGCTTGTGATTGCGTTGAATTGCACGTGTCTTGTGTGTTGTACGAAAACCAGTTTTTCTACGTATAAATGAGAACGAAGTTTTATGAGTTACCGGAAGCATAAATGGCCTTAGCATTTGCCTTTATTCTGAAAATAACTGGAGATCGAGCTTTATGCCTTATTTACTTATTCTGTCCATTAACTAGCTCCAGACGCTGATGGTGATACACCTAACCTGTCTACGTCGCACTTTTAGAATGCCTATCATGCTAAGCCGATAGCGTCGAAACTGCTGTGTATTCTGGATTAAAAGTCTTTCTTTGTGAATAACAGCTATATTCACCATATTTCGTTGAAGGTGGCAAATCGCTGTTGATTTTGTAATGAATAAACTAGTAAAATTTAATGCTAAAGCCTAGTTATATTCAAATTACGATACGTGTCTGCAACCGCTTTATTGAGACTCATTAGTCCTTGAACCGCGTAATATATGGCTTCTAAACTCACGAATTCTTTTTATTAGATTTTAAAGAAAAAATTCCATTCTAACATTGTTTAATTCTCCATCTAATACGATAGTCAGCATTGCCATGGCGAAATCTGCTTGCTCAGGTTATTTAGAGTAATCACTTTTCTCTATTAAAAAATAATCTTTCCTTCACTCAAAGCTTAGCTACCTGCAAATTTAAAGCTTCGCTCTCTGTCCGTCTTCTATTTTTTCTGATACCGGCGCAGCTCTCGAACTCTACTCATTCAGAGGGGACCGAGTCGAGTCGCTGTACAGTGAGTCAATCCTCCACCGGACCCGGCGCTGGCAGTCGGAATCTGCTTGGCACCCAAACGGCCGTCACTCCAACTGGGCTATGCTCTGCCTCAGGACCCTCTGGCACTCCCGCTGGCTCCATCGCCTCTCCAGCGCTTGGCTCAGGTGGCCCGGCCTCTGGACCGAAGGAGCGCATCGTACTGAAACTCTCGCGAGCCAGCACCGGCGCAGTTTTGGCTGTCGCTTCTGTTGGTCAATTGCCGATACAAGCAGGCCACTCCGCTCCAGCTCCTGTCACCTCGGCCAATTATGCTGCTGGTGTAGGAGAGCCTGACAGACAGGAATATTGCGGCATGCGTCAACGTATGAGTGAGGCAGAGTCAGCAGGGTCAGAAGGAGCTGGTGGGAAAGAGCAAGAGCGACGGGCCAGACAGCGAAAAGAGAAGAAAAAAAAGCGTCAGAAACACGATCTTGATCCGGAGCAGACTGAACCAATTCAAGGTGCGTCATTTGGGGACTCCTATTCAAAT